TCTAGAATGTTTTCATTTCGATTCGGGCGAATCTCGGATAGGAATGAAACGGACGGCGCGTTGCGGAAAATACCTGTCGTTTGTTACACGATACGAGTGAACGGTAAATTTAATTTCGAGCCGTTCCCGTCTCGTGTTTTTCGTTATATGCACTTCCGTAGTACGAAGATGTGGACATGATGATTTGTTACGATTTTGGATTTAATCGCGAAATATACGGAAGAAAGTTGCACCGCAGTTACGAGGTCGTCACGAACGAGCGCAGGATCGTTCGTCGATCTCCCCCTCGCGGGCGTGACGTTTACTCACTTAACACTTAGATTGCCCAACTAGTTTCGAAGATATACAGGTTCTAAAGTCGCAAAGCGCGCTTATATACAGAGTCAGAATACAAATCATGTGCCCATATCTCATATATTACTTAAATCCCTCAATATACCGATATAATAACAATCACATATGTATAACATGAATTGCTTTCCAAAAAACATCACGAAAAATATACATCAACCTGCGTGATCGTTTTATAACAGATATGTGATATGAATGTTCTTTTCTACATTAGTGTACATATTGTACAATTAATATCCTATTGTTTTTATTCAACGCCTCCATTGATAATTCATGAATTTACTCCTATTTCAATCGTTAAACCCGTCACTCACGGTATGAATAGCAGTCTAAGTGTTGGAAGAACAAAAATCGTGTAAATCGAGCGTGGAGGGGATATCGGGGAAACGCATAGTAGCCTCTTAGACGACGAAGAGCGGCGCTCACAGGTGCATCTCGTAATGCGTCCTGCGTATCCGCTCTCGTTGAGACGTCGCCTAGCGTTTCGACGAGCACACGGAGTCATCGGGATGTGAGCATCGAGCGGCACGTCTCCGGGGGAGGAGTGCGCCGGGGTGAAAAGTAGCGGGCAGAAACGCGATCGAAGGCGGGAGACGATGTTACGTGGCAAAAACGGGGGATTTCGTTGCATGCATAATTCCTCGGTCCGCAACTGCATCCTCCCTGCCGGTACAATGAGCCCGCCTTGTTCCGCCGTATTATCCGCGTGTGTACGCGCGCAACGGGACGGCGGTAAGGTAGAAGGGGGGAGGGAGACGAGCAAAGGCTGGATGAGTAGGAGAGGAGAGAGAGCCGCCGTATAGAGCGGTACACGGCGCGAGAGCTGTATAGATACCGACTCTCTAATACAATTGCTCCCGTGGCAAGTTTTCCCGGGGTGTAAGGTATAGGCTATGCTAACTACTAACCCTGCGTCACGCTGCTCATACCGGATCCCGGGCCATCCTCTCGCTACCGACGCTACAGTTACGGTCTAACGGCGCGCTGCGCACCTTATTAATAGTTGCACTTGGAAACTGCTACTACGGTAGCGCGCCGTTGGCCCCCGTGTGCAGCGGCGAAAGATTAACAATATGTGCGCGGGCGGGAGTTGCGCCGCCGCTCTCGAGAAGAACCCTCCCCGACCGCGGCTGTTTGTCATGCGGGGATACCCCGGCAGCAAAACAACACCGGCGTTCTCCGCCCGTAAACTGACGTTTTCGTTCATTAACGCGGGAATATCTTCGAATGCGGATGTGGTACGTCGACCTCGCGCGCTCCCGGGGCCTTCGGCATTGTTCGATATATACGTATCGGTATACCCCGCCGGCCCGCTCGCTTCGTCCTTTGACGCGCGTGACGTACGTTACATATCCCATCATCTTCCAAAAATGCACGCGTCCGTGCCGTTAATTCGTCCTCGCGCTTCGTCTCCTTCGGCTCCGGTTTGATTTTGATCTTGATTGATTTATCACGCCGAGAGCGTATCGGAGGAGGTGGCTTGTTACGCGCGCGCGTTTCACGACGCTCGTTCGACCGTGCCCGACGTGGGAAATATAACTGGTCGGTACGTGTTCGGAGTAAAACCGCGGTTATTTCTTAATAAATCCCGCTGCGCGGCCTTTGTTATACCGCCGCGAGTTTTTCACGCCTCCGTTCTGCGCGAATTGTAAATCAAGTCGCAAGGCGCTATTTGCTCCTTACTCGGCGCGGAGAAACGTACGGCGTGGGGAATGACCGGGCCGCTCGCAGACGCGAATTTATTCGTACGATTCGTTGTAAAATCGCGGAATTGGAATTCGCGTGATTGATAAGTCGCGCGCGTAATCACGGCGGAGGGAGCTAATGAGTGATGGCGCGCGAGAGAGGGAGATTAATTTCCCCTCCGTGAAATTAAATAGCGCGATAAATAATTACGGGAGCGATTCGTACGCTTCTTAATCTCAACGTACGCCGCTCTTCTCTTAATATCGCGTCATGCCTTTTCTCTCTCGATCTTTCTTTCTCCCTCCCTCTCACTCTTCCTCGTTCTTCCCAAAAGGATTTTCATCGCGCGTGTCTTCGTTAATTATGCCAGTCGTTATCCTATTTTCCATTACTATTCTAGTAGAGAGCCTCGTCACTATGAAGAGAACCGGTACTAGCTCGAGGATTACCCTCGTGCAGGGCGAATAAATTTCACGTCGGCGTAAAAATGCTTCGTTCCTCCCGTTGACGATGAGATCGCGAGATATGATTGTAAAATAAGCGGCAACTCTGGGCGATCGTCCGCGGCACATATTTACGAGCGTTATATATATCGAGGTAAATTCTCGACACGCGACAGTTAGACGAAACTCTCGGAATTAATTAGAGTTCTAATTGCCCCCGCGCTCGGCATGCCTCGCTCTCTCTCTCTCTCTCTCTCTCTTTCTCTTTCTCTCGACGTATCGCATTGATCTTTCCCCAGGTGTGTTTCTTCTTGTTGTATTCTCATTAAATTTACTCGGCAGCGATCTTATTTCGAAGTTCTCGCGATGCTCCTTTCCCCTCAAGGAGCGTCGACATTGTTGACGTTGCTACAATTCCGATCCGGTTATGCGTAATGAATTTTTCGAGAACCTCGGTACTCTTCCCACGGTCGTTGTACTTCTTAGCCCACGTTGGATTTACTTTCCAAATATTTGGACGGAGAATTTCATGTTCCTTCACGTTACTTTATCCGATACGCGTTATCGCGACGTGAAGGACTATTGTGGATTCCGAGATGTTCGTAATATTCGCGCATCGATTTACGAAGATTATCGCGCGAACGAGAAACTACGGGTAAGTTTAATGATGAATCGGAAAACGCTGAGATACACCTATACATCTACGAGGAGACCTCGAAACTTGAGAGTCGCGAGTCCCGAGTCGAAATTTCAGTTCCACGTTAATCCTGCATATCGGCGAACTTGAAGGGCCAATGAAGAATCTCGAGATATAATACATAGACTATTGTTCTATCTTGATCCTGCAAGTGGTCTCTTGCTATTGTTTCCTTTGTATTGTATTGTATTGAGACTTGTGCGTGTGTGAAGAAGCATTTATTCATAATTATTTAATATTCCATTAACCGAATATCCCACCTGTATTGAATATTTTCTTTATTTTGAATTTCGATAAGCAAATTAATCATGTAACTTACTCAACTGCAAATATAATATACAGATAGATGTAACGGCGATAAAGCTTGCGCCTCCTTCTTTCTCACCTCTTTTGACCTGAATATCCAATTCCGTCTAAATTTTTAACGCCAATAAATAATAATAATTATGAGAAAAAGCATAATAGAAGAAAATGGCCACCGAGTGATCTTTGAACGCTTAATATAGAGCTAAATGAGACTTAAGGCAACTGTCCTTGTTTGATGAGGTCAGAAGCGAAATTAACACGGAATCTTCCTTTTTAACCTCTTTCCTCATGATTTTGTCAATGTTAATGTTATGACTTGTTAAGTAATGTTAATTTTATGACTTTTTATTGATCGTTCAAGTAAAAGAAAAGTGTTCGGACAATTTTACAAGTATGCCGCATCGATCACAAATGTCATTTTGTGAATATATCTTTTTATTTGAACGTACAACGCAAAAATTCCGGACACGCGTTTTCTGACATCATCGAACAAGGACAGTTGTCTGCAAGCAGCGAGAGATCAGAAGCCTTAAAATAGGATTAAAATTTCGACTCGGGTATAACGTCACGTTTCGAAATTCTCCATCTGATCTTTCAAGAAGAAATTCGCGTTAACGTAGAACCAAAATTTTGGTTCGGTTGTCGCGTGTGTGCGGCAACATTAAATGCTCTTGTATTCACTTACCTTGACGCGCGGGATCTCGCGCGATATGCCGGAGATGCGGAGGGCCCGTAAAATGAACTTGTATCGAGACATATATTATTAGAAGGGTGATGGGTACATCCTTGTGAGGTGTATAGCTTCTCTTCCGACGTATCAGATCGGAACTGATTGACGCTCGGGGATAGAGCTGAGTTAATTACGAAATCTACGGGAAGCACGGGCGCGTTCTAAGCTGGCCGGTCTAAGCTGCCATTATAATTAATTAATTAGTCGTGTGAGATGACTTAACGGATCGCCGGAGATACGCTAGGAAATTCCATTTAGCCAGAATGCCGGCTGAATCATGAACAAGATGTGCTCGCGTGTAGCCTTGAAACAAAATGAATATTTAATGGCGCTCTTATAAAGATGATTACCACGAAACACATTATATAACTATGTAGTAAGCGTATGTGCGATAAATGAAATTATTAAACGATATTATAGAATATATTTATATGATAAAAGTTTACTGCCATTACACGTTTCGGGAAACAGCATCTTAAGTTGCGCCGTGATAAATAATTGTAAAAGTTTACTACTGTTTATAGAAGAGGAGAAGCAAAACGAAAATCGGCTACGGTGCGACAAACTTGTCGACGGGGATCGAGAAGATTACGGTAAATGATCATTGATCGAGATTTACAGCTTTGGGGTACTTTTATTAACCGAAAGCCTAGGCTATAATAAAGAATGCTATGTGTATACATATCTTCTATCTATATACAATAAACCGATTTCTCACGATATTCGATACACAGTTAACATTTGGCAACTTGGAATCAATTACTTTTTACTCTTCCTCTGTGTTTACTTTTTTTTTTTTTCTTTTGGCAGGAATCACACTTAGTCTCTCGCGATTCGAGAATGTCGAACGTGCTCGTCGCTCGAGTATCTCCCGGTGTCTCACAGATCCGCCTCGTAACGTGATATTATCAAAATCGAGGAGGCTAGATCGCGATAGTTCCGCGAGATCTCTCCCATCGCGATGCTCTAAGGACGACGAGGTGAAGCCTTTCTCGCGCGGATCGCTTCCCCTTAATTACGTTAGTGCTGATCGTTAGAACTATCGATACGAATAAGTGTAATATTGCTTGCGCAGCACTATAAAGATGAATTTCATGGATACACACCAGCACGGACATCGTTAAGTGGCGATGCTTTACGTTATTTACAAAAATGTCGAGTGTGTATGCGTGTGTGCGTGTCTGCATGTGAGAATGCATGTGTGTGTATGTGTGTGTACGCGTCACACACAGTATGGTACATAGACGAGTTTCCGGAATTGTAGAAAAGAAACGTCGAACGGCTTAAAAAATCAGTCTTCGTACGAGAGATTCGAAAAGTTTCGTAGAGAGGGTCGTCGATACGTCGTTGCTCGGTTTTCGTAAAGCAGCGGGCCGGTCCGTCCTCGTTAATGGACGGTTTCCGCGTTGTAGAAAAAAAACGTAACGAAAGGATCCCCGCAAAGAATTACCTCCGGTGAAGTCTCCTGTCGAAAGTACTAATTCGCGCTGCCGCTCCCGGTTTGATTTTCTCTCTCTCTCTCTCTCACAGGAAGTCCTCGGATTCTCGCGCGCGCGTGAAACGCGTCCCGTCTTTTGGCACGGGCTTTAAACGCTAAACGACGTGCCTAAGTCGCGCCCACCGGCGCTTCTCGCCGGTGCGCGATAATAAGATTAAGTCGCTCGATGTTCCCGGTGTGGAAGTCGCGCGCGCGCGCGTTTACGGCCGAGTCGCGGCGGTTCGCGAGAAAAAATTTCCGACACGTTTCTCTCTTCATCCTACTTCCTCCTTCTCATCTTTCTCCCTCCTCTTCCTTCCATTTTGGCACTTCGCTGAATCGCGCATCCCCTTTCGCGCGCGCAAGACGAGCGCGATTCGCGGGAGGAGCGGTGACGTCGCGATCCCGGGCGACGTCGTGGTCGTACAAAAAATTCCCTACGTGTTGAAACGCTACTACTGATTGAAAAGTCTCGCCGATCGGCGTGCTTTCGCGCGTTTGATCGTTCGCTATGTGCGAGTCTCACAACGTCCGCCTCGGCGAGCGGAGGTAAGGGAGAAGTCGCGTCGATCGACGCGCGACCGCCGTGCGGAGTCGACCTTGTGCGATTTCTCGTGATTCGAAAGACGCGCCGAGAGTGCCAAGAGTCGTATCCTCGTTAACCGCACCGGAACGTCCTTCCTCCTCGGAGCAGCTCGGCGTAGCCGCGTGATTATTAGCTGTAGATACTGGTGCAGGTCGACACGGTTTTCATCTCGATGTCGTGTTGGGCGGCCTCTTTACGAGACTCCTTCGCCTTCTGCTACGAGCCGAGCGGAGCGGGCCCGATGTTACTGATGAAACTCGGACAGGCGTTCTCCGCCCGGTCGCCGCTCTGCAAGGAGAAGTGCCGGTAGGACATGTACTCCGGCGGATTCGCGGACAACGGCTGATCCCGCTTGATCGTCGCGCGCTGTTTCTTCATTTTCATGTATCCGAGGACGGAGATCAGCACGACGAACACGACGAAGCCCATGCAACTGCCGACGATGAGACCCAGCCGTCTCGTGAGGATACTCGCGATACCGCCCCTGTCGCTCACCGTGCCGTCGCCCACTATCGAATCGGGCGCGTCCAAAGTTCTGACCTCCGTGCATCGGCTGGTGGGTGAGTTCACCATCACCGGCAGCGAGGACCCTTCGATCACGTCGTCGTGCGACGCGTTCCACTGCCAGGAGCCGATATCCTCCGGGATTGGCGTGCCCCAGCTGCCCAAGCCGAGTACGCAGATCAGGTAGCGCGTGTCGGACGCCAACTTCGTCAATCTCACCGAACGTGCCTTCGGGTCCAGCAGTTTGCCTCGTACCTGCAACGACGATGGAAAAGCTATGCCTTCAACGTGCCCGGACTCTTGTCTTGCGCACGTCGCCGGACTCGGGTGAATAAGAAGCCTATGTAAGTAAGTCGCGGAGAGAATCAAATATCCACGGCGGTTCGTACCAGCTTTCGCGGTCATTTTCATCGTATGAGTTCCGGTATTTCAGAACATATTTATTACATTGATATGTCATTTGTATAATCTGGAATCGACCGAGTGACACTTTGACGCGCGTAATCGTTAAGTTATCAATTTGAAACTATTTAAAATTGTTCATTAACAAAGTTAATAACAAAGTTACTGCGTTGACAAACTGTAAATGGAAGGCTGTAATACCACCATCTCCTCTGCATGTATATTTTAGTAAGTCGCGTGTATTTCATTCCTGAATCGCTGGAGGGATAGCAGAGGTTTTCCAAGGCAACGTAAGTTTCGATTTTCCACGCATAATGAAAGTATAGCGTCGTCCTACCTCGTCGACATTGTCCAAGGCGTGGTACGCCACTTGGTACCCGTGGAGGCCGGAATGGTTTCTGCTCTGCCACGATACTAGAACGGAGAAGGGCTGAATGTCCTGAATTGCGAGTTTCAGGACCAGCGGAGCGGAACAGAAGGCGTGGGGGTCAAGATCGAGGAAGACGAGACCCCGGAGCTCGGGTGGCTGCTCGCATCTTAACAAACCGCCCTCGACGTCACCGACTCCGACACCATTTCTTCCGCGGCTGCGACCACCGCCGACCCCGCTCACCAATTTCTGATGATCTCTCAGCCATTCCCACAACTCCTGCGACTCGCAGCCGCAATGTAAGGGGTTCTCTGTCAATGAGACGCGGCGGCGCACTCGTTATTGTCGTATGCGACATTGTGCTCGCCGAGATCGATCGTAATCTCGACCGACGTACTCGGCACCGAAGCAGCCGGTCAATGATTCACAGCGCAACCAGTGCGACTCGAGTCTCTCGTAATAAAAATTGCGCGAGCACGAGAATACGTGAGTTCATGAGTACACGAAATATTTCGTCGTACATTTAATTATGCTTTACATAAGTTATTCCCGAATCGAAACGTAACGAATGAATTTATTATCGGCTGATGTTAAAACTGCATGATTTCGATTATTGAGACACGAAAGGCGCTTTAAAAAGATATTTTTCCACGCCGCCGCTGTTTCTTACGCGGAGAAATGGCGTGCGCATCGGCTGCTCGTATGGTCCACGGTCAAAAGTTCAGTCAAACGTTGTAGATGTGAGTCCCACACTCTTGCTAATTGATTAAAATTAATTACAAATGCATCAGCGATAATTAAAATGTATAAACCCGGCTCGAATTACCATAAAATATGTGTACGTAATTTATGAATAAGTAAGTTATAACGGGCACGGCGTTTTATCATCACGCGGCGGTATGTCGCATCCCCGAGCTTTATGTGGATTAAAACAATGAAAAAGAAATAAGGGGGGGAAAAAAAGCGGGACACAGACTTCGCGCGCTTTCGAAAAGTATTAAAACTATGCGAGTATAAGATTAGTGCGCGGATTCCGCGCTGCGGGAAAATGAGACGGAGTTACGCGGACTTGTTTGATTGTTCCGGCGTTGAATATTGATTCGAGACGACGGTACGTGACCGGCGATACGATTGATTTTCGAGTAGTGGTAACTTCATTCGGATCGATAACTCGGTGTCGCGTGTATATGAGAAGATTCTCGCGGCGAGTCGTCTTCGTGGACTCGCGTGCAAATTGAACGACGGTGTCTCATTCGTGTCTCATTCGTGCACGGGGAAAAGGAAGAAAGGATCAGAGGGAGGGAGGAGAACGCGCGGTGCGAAACGAATCACAAGTACCGGGTATGCCTGAGAGAGAGAGAGAGCGGCTCACCTTCAGCCCGCAAACTCCTTATTTGCGTCTCGAGTGGCCGGAAAGCGTTCAACGGCAGATTCTCCAAGTAATTCCTACTGAGGTCGAGTAGGCGCAGCTTCTTCAGAGGCCTGAACGCCTCGCTGGAGATGGCGTTTATCCAGTTACCGTAAAGGTGCAGCTCGACCAGGCTAATTAAATTCTTGAACGTCACTTTGCCGACGATGCCGATCTGATTGTACGACAGATCCAGTATCTGCAGGGACTTGAGATCCTCCGGGAATTCCTCCAGCTCTTTCAGACGGTTGTGCGTCAAATTGAGTATGCGCAAGTGCTCCATGCCCTGCAACCGCTCCTTCGGCAGGATCTCCAGGCTGTTCATGCCGAGGTGAAGGGTGAGCAACTTGGGCAGGCTGCGAAACGCGCCCGGCGACACTCGCAGGATGCAATTCTGACCGAGATAGAGGTGCAGGAGCGCCGGGAAGGCCTCGAAGTCCTGCGAGGTCACGATACTGAGGTTAGTGCCGGATATGTGCACTTCCTTCAGAATGGGATACATCGCCTCGGAGGGCAGGTCGTGGATCCTGTTTAGCGGGTTCCGCGTGAGATTCAGCCACGCGAGACTGGGCAGGTTCTGGCCCGAGAGAGCCACCGCGGGTATCTGTCGGAATTTATTCTCCGACAGGTCGACCCTGCGTAACGAGGAGGAATGCGCGAAGAAGTTGGCCGGCAGTGCGGTGAGATAATTGTGACTGAGGTCCGCCGAGATGAGCCGCGACAAATTGGCCATCGCGAAGCCCGACATCGTCTCGATCTTGTTGCGGCTCAGATCCAGCTCCCGCAGGTGCTTCAGACTGGCGAAGCTCGCGACGTCGACGTTGAGGAGCTCGTTCGTGGACAAGGTGAGGGTCTCGAGGTTGAGCGCGCTCGAGAGCGCCGAGTACGGGATGTCCTGGAAGCGGTTGCGATCCAGCCGGATCTCCCGCAGCGACAGCAGCCGGTCGAAGATGCCCGGCGGCAGGGCGCGCAGGTGATTCCGATTCAGGTGGAGGCGCGCCAGATTGCGGTTCAGCACGAAAATCGTCTCCGGCAGCTGGCTGATCTGCGAGTCGTCGAGGAAGAGCTCCTGCAACGACGGCAGCCCGTTGAAACTGTGCTCCGTGATCTGGCTGAAATTGTTGCCGGACGCGGCGAGCGTCCGCAGGCCGGACACGTGGAGACGCAGCAGCGCCGACGCCGTGAGCAGATTCTCGTCGAGATTCAGATCGAACAGGTTGTTCAGCCCGCGAAACGCCCCGTTCTCGATCGTGGCGATCGAGCAGTTCTTCAGGTTGAGCGTGCGGATCGGCAGGTCCTCCTGGAAGATCGCGTCCTGCAGAATGGTGAGATAATTATTCGCCAGGTCGAGCACTTTCAGCTTCTTGAGAGCGGTGAGCGCGTAAGGATCGAGCCGCCTGAGCCCGTTGTCCCGCAGGTAGAGCTCCTCGAGCTCGTGCAGCTCCGAGAACGTTCGCGCTGTCACGTGGCTCAGCCGGTTCATGCTGAGCTCGAGGAACTTGAGAGCCTGCATAGGCTGAAAGGCGGCGTCCTCGATCCTGGATATCGAATTGTTCGTGAGATAAAGCCGCTCGACCAAGAGGAGGTCCCGGAAAAGGGGCGCCTGCAGATGCGTGAGCTTGTTGTGGCCGAGCCACATGATGCGCACGGACGCTTGGCCGCGCAGGGAGTCGTTGTGCAGCACGGCCAGGCCGTTACTGTCCAACTGAATGGACACCAAAGAGCTGCCGCCGGACGACGACTCCGTGGCGGAGAGCTGAAAGACGTCGCCGAGCATGGTCAGCTGATTGCCTTGGAGATTAACGTGCTGGAGGCTGTTCAGCGTCCGCAGCGCGCCCGTCTCCATCGAGGTGATCGCGTTGTTTTGCAGGTGGAGCTCGAGGAGGGCCGGCAGCGGCGTGAAGACGCCGCGCCTCACCTCCGTTATGTGATTATCCTGCAGTCGCAGCTCCCGCAGCTGGTGCAGCTTGAGGAAGGTGCCCGGCTGCAACTCGCGAATCTTGTTACCGTCCAGAGAGAGCGACGAGAGGTTCTCGCAGTGCTCGAGGAATTCCCGCGGCACCCGCTCGATGTAGTTGTTGCTCAGATGCAATTGGGCCAGCTGCGCGAGACTCGTCAGGCCCTTCGCGTCGATTCTCCGGATGGCGTTCTGCTGTAGGTAAACTACCGCGAGGCTGACACTGCCGGCGAACGCGTCCCCGGGGATCTCCAGAATATTGTTTTCCGCCAAATAAAGCTCCCGCAGCTCGGGCAGCCGCGCGAACACGCCGCCGATGTAGTGGATGTGGTTGTGACTGAGCTCGATCGTGCGCAGCCGCTCGTTCCCCTTGAACGTCGCCACGTCGAGGAAGACTATTTTGTTGTGGCTCAGGTCGATCGACTCGAGGTCCTTCAGCGACACGAACGCGTCCTTGTGAATGCTCTCGATGGAGTTGTAGTAGAGAGAGAGCGTGTGGAGGATCGGGCAGGGCCGGAAGCAGTCCTCGGCGAGCTTCTCGAAATTGTTGCTGCTCAAATCGAGGAACAGCAGGGAGCTGAGCAGGCTGTAACCGTCGTCCGGCAGCTCCGAGATCTCGTTCCACGCGAGCCTCAGCGAGGCCAGACTCTCCAGCCTCCTCAGGGGAGCCATCGGGAAGAGCTTGAGTTTGTTCTCCGCCAGATCCAGGTCGCTCAGACTGTCCTCCAGGCCGGCGAACGCGTACTCGGAGATCTTCGATATCTGGTTGCCCTTCAGCGTCAGTTTCATCAGCTTCAATCCGTAGAAGCAATAGGACGAGAGGTCCTGTATCAGGTTCGTCTCGAGGTCCAGCGCGGCCAGCTTCCGCAGCTCGGCTAATGATTTCTGAGGCACGTGGGGCAAGCGACCGGATACCAGCGCCAACGACTCCAGGCTGTCCTTCAGGTTCGTGAACGCGCTCTCGCTCACCTCCCGCAAAGACGAGTGGGATATCTGCAGGTGCCTGATTTGCGAGCCGGCCGGGAAAGCGACCTCCTTCAGCTCCTCGATGCCTTTGTCCAGCTCGTAAACGCTCAACGACTGCACCATCGTACCTGTGCCTGCGGGAATGATCGTAAAGCTGGTCGTTAATTCCATCGAGCCGCAAATTTCCAATTTCGCAGCATCGCCAGTGCCTTTCATTAATTTTATGCAGCGCATCGACGAAGAGGGACGATCCACCCTCAGAGCCGCGTTCTTCACTCTTCCTGCCGCGTAGAACGCGCGGAAACGGCACGAGCGGCGCGATTCTTACTTATCTTACGTGCGAGCAGTTCCATTCTGTCAAATGAGGCGTGACGGGTGAATTCAACACGCCCGCTCGATCGATAGAGCCGATGTCGCCCGAGAGAGACACAGGGTATATATTTGCAACTGCGCGCAAGTAACGTCGAAGCGATTTCCACGGTTATCGCGCGACACCGCTAATTCGCGCGCCGAAAAATGCGTCCCGGAGTCTCGTATATTAAAGGCTATTCAACAATTACGTCACACTCGAATTTAGTAATTTAGTAATTTTTATCCCCCCCTCCTCCTCCCTCTCGTGGTGTGACGTAGTTGTCGAATAGTTTACTACTTTCAATCCGTGAACTTTCGCACACCAACGTGGATGTGCGCTCGAAAATACAGACGACTGCGGGCACATTTATAATCGGATGAGGAATGCCGTACGTGGATTCTTGGCACGTGCCCGCTCATCGTTAGTATAAATCTGTCTAACGGAACTATGGTCTCATGGTAAATGAAACGGCGCGGTCCAGAACGTGCTACGGAATGCAGTCTGCAAGTGCAGGTATGCTGCAATTGCGGTGATGTGGAAGAGATCGAGTGAGAAATCAATTACCAGAACGATACACCGAATGATACGCAGAAAAAGGGTTTCTTCGGATTCAGTGTGAACTAGTTTGTTCGACAAGGGTTTGTTTAATATAAACAGCATAATTTAATATTAAATGTCGTTTTATTGGATGTTGAATGAAAATGTTGTTGTTTCGCCACAGTAAACTGTAATGTTTGATAAGAGACGCAGGATTGTTCAGAAGAAATAATATTTCGTCTTCAACAGGGAAAATTTAATCGATCATATGTTAAATAACGTTCCACTGAAACAGGGAGGTTCTTTAATATTTTTCTAACGAAAAGTGTTAGAAAGTTGTAAAGAGTGAGTTACTTCTTTCAAGTAATTTAATTACCTATGACAACCATTGTGATATTTGGATGAAAATATAGAAGAGATATATTATTTAACGTAAAGATATTAAAATTATTGGGACATTGATTGCTGACATAAAGATTTTAATTGACAAACCAAACAAACCCGTTTGTCGAATCGAACATTCGTTTAACAAAAGACAAATATGTTTCAATTAAAGAAATTTCATTAAATCCAAAGAAATCTTTCTCTCTGTGTACGTCTCTCATTCGATAACAATTCTTTCGCGAAATGTTCACAGAAAGTTTGGAAATGCGTTTCTGGACTGAATTGAGAGTGACTTCGTTTTCAATTACATCAAAGAGTTATTTTGATAAATAAATGAACATAATTATCGTCGCTCATCGAGAGTCGCTTACCGCTTGCACTAAGCACGCCTTGCAATGTGGTTCTTAAAGTCTCTTCCGTAGCGCCAGCGCATTCCAGGAAGAGACCGTCTTCAAAGTTATAGCAAGGACAGCCCGGAATTACTTCCGTCGGAGGACATTCGGCTATTTGAGCAACAGTTGTGAAGGTAACGAAATTTTGAATTAACAGGACTTGGAGGACCACCCTCGAGATCCGCTGCTTTACAGCGCGAGAATGGTCTCTCCGTCGTTGCGAGTCTCGCATCATCGTGTCGTCACATTCGTAGTCCCGTTTGCCACCTGACAGTTCGCAATGAACTCTCTGAAACAGAGAAATCACAAGAACGATTGAAATTACGCGAGTCGACGCTCGACGTTACGTCGAATGACAAATGGGGCTCAGTGTGTAAATTCATATATTTTTTCTCGCTCGAAGAAACAGCTACGTTGCAGCACCGATATTCTTTGTTTATTCTGTAATCCTCCGCGTATGTTACGAAACCCTCAAAAGTTACCGTCCCTACGTTCGCATAAAATAATAAATTAAAGCGCTGTTGCTTTTGTTAAAATTTTTCTAAAGTCGCTGACAAACATTTACGGGCGCTCTTACCGTGAGAGATTCTTGTCTGAATAAATCCACGGGGGCAAAGTTAAACTTCGCCTGCCAGGCGCTATACTGCGCATGTTGGAGCATGTTTACGAAAAAGTACGGCCGAGCTCTCAGAATAGTGCGAATAGCTTCCTTGAATAACAAAGAGCGCACGTCTGACTAAGACGGAGGTGCATACGAATATACGGAGACAAAAAAATTATCTGTTCCGCTAAAAAAAGAAAAAGGATAAAAAAATAAACTCCCATATATTTCCTCCTGCAGTTTCTCCCGACGTCCACTTTTTCTCAATAGCGAAGAGCATGTCTTTCTAGTGTGTGTGTGTGTCGAGATAACTTTCTTCAATTTTTTAACAATATCAAATCGTAATCACGAACGCGCATTGAAGTAATCTCGACATCGAGCCCGATGGTAACTGGGACGGTACTTGTTTTCCCGAATACCGCCAACAGTAAATTTAACGTAATACAAATTGGACATCTTAATACGAAACTACCTGTCGGGGGAATACTATTCGAGATAGACACCCGATGGCGGTTGTCAACAATGCTAACGAGTTCTCATCTGAATGAAGTCCCGTTGGTATGATGGTGGAAATACGCGATAGCGGCGGTTCGCGAACTGCGTCGTCTCTGAATTACGTTACGTGTGCATCGACAATTTTTCGCGTTCAGTGAATATTAATCGAGAGAGGTCTCGTTCGGCGACGCGGATGCGAGATAATGTTTAAGAGAAAATATTTCCCCAAGTATTCCCTCCGAACACGTCACCTCGACGGATCGATATATTCCAAAAGCCCCTCGCCTCCCCGCGCGCTCTTTCAACGCGGCTCGGTCGAAAATTCGCGGAAGTCGTACGGCCGCACTTATCGTAAGAGTATTACAACAAACTCCGTAATAAAGCGGATTCCAGGCACGATAGGCGCGCGTCTCTCGCGCAGGAAGAACCGGACGGACCCGGTGAAGCTTTTCGCGCGTAATCGAGCGGCGCCAATGACCGGTTCGGAAATCTGTATCACAAAGGCGGTGTCTAGACCGAATCGATTTTTCACGAGCACCAGGCATGGCGATATCGCGCCATTTACGCCTAACTGATTCCACGAATACCTCTCTCTTCTTTCTGACATGAAAAGCTTCAATAGCGGCGTACCATTCTCGTCTACATTCACATTTGCACTTCCGCGGACCGCCAACGGGCCTTTACGATCGGACGGTAAAACACATAGCGACGTTTCACGAGACGTGCCGGCCGAAGGCTTTAGACTTGAATCCAGCGGGAGACGTGGAGACGTCTTCTCGTAGGTGAAACTACTCGAGAGAGAGGGAGAGAAACAGAAGGGAGACAGACAGAGAGAGAAAGAGAGAGAGGGGGGAAGACCTCTAAAAAATTCTCTCGTGAAATCCGATTAGCGCTCTCAAAAGAGAGCCGGATGTGTAAATTGCGAACCAAGCTCGTGCCACGCAAGACATCCCAAATCCGTCGAAAATATTCCAGCGGCGAATTCTCTGGCATGTTCGAAATCGTCGCGTCCACACGCCGGAAATACTCAGTTTTCAATGAAATTTATATAAACAAAGAAGAGGTAGCGATTCCATTAACGCATACATGAACGGATATCCGTGCGTATTACGGATATCCATGCGCGAAGGTATCGCGACAGCGAAGTGTATGAGCACTCCGGCAAGACTTCCGGGGTTAATCGTATCGGATCTTTTGCTTTTTTTTTTTCTCTTTCTCTTTATCTTCCTGTTTACTGTGGAGCGTAGGGGCGAACGTACCTCTGATTATCTCGGAGCGAGAGAGCGATTAAGGGCGGATTCGCTCGGAATTCAAGAAACGTTTTCAATTTAAACATTAATCTTCGTAGAACGTCGCTTCAGCATTATATCGGAATCCCAAAGCTATCGCTCCTTTAAGTATTTCGATCGAGTGACTGGGCAAACCCCGGCGACCCGGTTATACCATGCCTTTCTATTTCCACTACTCGCCGTACCGATCCCGGGGAATATGTTGTTCCGGGGACATACGCTGCATTCCCGGCACGATTGCTCCATAAATGCTCCGCGCTTTAGGAATCCGGCGTGCGACGCGCCATTAGTAAACTAAGATATCGCGGTTACGCGAAGCTTCTCGATTCGGATTATTGACAGTCACCTGGCCTTGATAGAATCAACCGGCGATAAATGGATTAACGGACGATCAATTTTAGCGTCGGCGCAAGCGACGACGAACGCGCTCGCAACATGACGGCATTTATGGAGATGAACATTTCGATTTCGGGTGACTTACGCTTCATACGTTGCATAGTTCGCGAGGCTTCAATATAATCGATATAATTTATTTATTATTTATGGTTATTTCACCGTCCAAAATTTACTCTTACTTTCAGCCCCGATTTTTTTACGTTTGTAGATTCTAAAAGATTTATATGTAGAAACTCTCCCATAAAAATTTTATATATATATATATATTTGCATCAACAAACGTACTTGGCCTTTCTATGTTTTCGTAACTTTACATAGAAATCTCGAGCTCCTATTTTATGTCATATAAAGTAGTTAGTCTGCAGAATTTTGGATTTTCAATGGCGATATTAAGAGATTTCATAATTCATAATTTTATTATTTACTGAAAAGAGCGCGAAATGAAGACAAATATATACACAATATTACAAACCCAAAAATATTAATGTTTATTTTTCTTATCAATACTTTATTTATACGTCGTCTTCGAATGGTCAGTCGTTTTCTATAACTTTACAAACATACAGATAGTATTTCCACCGATATGTAGCTAGAATTTAAAAGGATTCCCAAGAAAACTTTAGCGGAAGAAAAATTAATAGCTAAAAAAAATTAGTAAAATAACGATTTTTCGTAATGAAAAGTTTTCAAGCGTTCCTCATCTATTTTCATGAGATTTAAGTACACCGTAATATAGCCAGGAATATGAGGACACACGCAGCGAGCGAAAATTCATCCATCAGATAGTTAACTGATTTGAGAACTACGTTTCTGTAGAGTCGGTAAATTCATAATTACAGTACAAGATAATTGCAGTAAATGGTAATAAAAAAAGATCTCGTTTAATCAGACTGAAGATTCGCAGCACGTTTTTTTTCCCCCCGCGCCCGAGTGACAGAGGATTGTAACTCGTGAAGAAAAGGAGGTAGCAGTTGAGAATTCAGTAGAAAATGCGCTTTACGAGACATACATCGTTTCGATCCAAGTGTACGGTTATACGTACTCCTTGAGAGCGTACTCAGCGCTTCATGCAACACCAGCGGTAATAAAGCGAGAAAACGTTTCGCCGCTCCGCGGCGCTGTTTTAACGCGATGAAAACAGTCAGCGCACTTCCGCACGGGGAAAAACGAATGTGTCTCTTTCAACGCGTCCATTTTCTCGTCTGAACCTCTCGTCCCGGCCCCAAAGAAATTTCAGCAATGGAATTAAAAGGTTTACGCGCACCAAAAACGTTCTCCCCGTCTTCTCGGTTCTTTGTTGAATTATTTGTTGCTACTCTCGAGCAAACACGCTGTTTCCGCGGAGTATAATATATCGCCATCGAGCGCGTTGAGTGATGCGCCAACGTTGTGATGTAAAATATGAGAATTCACGATAACGAGAAACACACGAATCCGTACTTTTATATACATGATGTCTGCATATATAAATATCAGGCTGGCACAAAAGTTTCGTCGGATTCATCGAATAAAATGAAAAACTACATTATCCAGTTTCCAAGTATTAATAAATTTTATGAATAAAATAAATAACATCGACTCTGTATTTTTCAGACATCTAACGAGGTCTTTCTGTTTGCTTTTCAATATCCACATGGTAACTTTTTACCGGTCAGAATTTCATGGAAAAAAAAAGACGAAAAATCTTTTGCGCTAACTTAATTGTATCTGATAGATATTAAATATTTAATCTGTGGGGGAAAAAGAGAAATTCAACGAAACATTATATTTATTGCGAAAACATCACGACGAAAATTTAGCGATGCAGCTCGCAAAATTCGCCGAGGAAATTGTTAAGCAACAAACGCGGATATCGTGTGGTAATTTATACCTCACTGTAACTCGTTTTATTGCTTTACGGTATCTTATCGCTTTATTCCATCGCGGAAGTGCGAATCCGAGGGAATTCGATACAGCTGGATTTCGTGATTTACATTAAATCGATCTAGGAATAATAGCGTATTGTAACGTAACTGTATTTTGACGAGATAATGTTGCCTCGCCTCCGCATTAGTTAGGCATTTATACAACACGACTTGCGAACTTCACGGTTCGGTTAACAATCACTCTTTCCGATACGATCTGTCAACAACATGCATGCGCATGCATATTAATTTCTCAACGGAGAAGAGCCTCGCTATCCTGCATTCGCAACAACTCGATAGTTACTCGGAGACTCGGCAAACGATTTCGTTATTGTCGCGAGCGTAAATCATCCTTCCTCTCCCGCAACGGATCGCGCGCTACGCGTGCAAAATGCGTGCGACTTTACAAGTAAGATGCAGCCGTGCAATAGAATAATCTCGCGATATTAGAGTAACGGCGCCTCTACGTTTTACGACTCGCCGTTTCTGCGTCATTTAAGACAGGGGGTGATTAATTCCCCGATGTCAGCCGGAAGGAACTAAACTCGGCACGAGTCGCCGGCTTTTTACGGCTCACCGTGGCTATTGTATCGCGCTTCTCGCC